AAAGAGTGTAATTCTGCAATGAGTTCAGGACAGGAATGTGCAGTCTGATCTGTGTGCTGGGATTATCTCCTTATCTATGTATGTTCAGCTACCTTTGATGCTTTCCAATCGAGTTCAGCCATCAGATCTGCCTTATGCACCTTTAATTGGCATGACTTAGTATGAAACTATTCACAACAGTCCCCTAAATGTGAAAGATTTGTGGTTAGCACTGGCAAGGGCTAATGAATAAGGGTAAAATGATTCAAGGATCAGAAAATATTTAACGGTGTGTCAGGCTGGAGGGGAATCAGAGAATAAGGACAATGTACGAGACAAGTAAGGGAAGGACTATCTTGCTCAGGAATCCTAAACTATCATGTATAGTATGCAGAGTATCATCTGAAGTAGTAGTATTTAGCAGGGATCCTCAAAACTGTGCAGCTGCATTAATGTGGCTATGTGCCCTAGCTAATCAGGGTTAACTACTTTGGGGACAGCATTAAGCCAAAGTGGTGGCTACATTACCTCAGGTTCTGGCTCTAATTAAGGTATGGCTTCATTATGCCCTATTACCTGTGTAAGCATATAAAATTTGAGTTTTGTGTGATGGATTAAGGGAATACTTCAGGCATATCACAAAAGAACCCCAACCAAGCAACATCAAACCACCAGCACACACCTACCTCCCTACTGTGGCTGAACAATGTCTACAGGTAGGGAAGAGAGGATGACTGCAATGTAGGAAATGATGGGCAACAGGTTTACAGTAAGGAATTATGCATTCCTGTCCCAGCTCTGCCACACTTTTTCAGACATTCACTAGGAGATGTTCTTTACCTAGAAAGGAAATATTCCTGTAGATAATATTGTAATGATTTTTTGTTGTTGTTTACGAAATACCATTTACTGGTGAAAGTAATCACAATGTATGGAAAATATTTAAGCCCTCCACCATTTATCTCTTCCAAAATTACCTGTTTTGACAGCTTCGTGAAGCAAAATGTGTTTCAATGTCAGTCTCAGTTCAGATACTGATGCTCAGTTCAGCATTATTGATAGGACATATCAGCCTAGCCTTCTTACTTCATAAAAATGGGGGAGGACAGGGAGAGAAAAGGCTGCGCAAGAGAAGATTTGCCTTTCTACTGCTTTGATATTCCTTCTCTGAGGCCATGGCAGGCTGGACAAACATTAACTCTTCCCATCTTAAGCATGCAGAAACTTCTATAGAGAATTCTGCAGTCAAGCAGTTATTGATATGGATGATTACATCTTTGAGATGACCCACCTTGACCCAGCTGGAATTCTTGCCTAATCTGCTTAGATGATTTCAAAATCCCAGTAAACCAAGATTTACTTATTTAGGTGCATAAAATATAGTCTCAGAGGAGGGAGGCTGTCCTGGATACCCTGCAGGTTTTTTTGCTATGTCCCCAGAATATCTTTCTGTTTTGTTTTAGTTAGACATGAACTGATGTCCTATGGATGTCCTTTACCTACCTGGGCATTTTTGTATATTCATACTGTACCCCAGTAATCCTGCTGGGAGCTGCCTCATCAGATGATCAGGACGTTTGTTTTCTTCAACTTTCATCTTGAAAAGAAAGTACACACAGTGTAGGACCTCCATTTCGTAGGTGCTTAATTAGCACCTAATCATCACCAAATAATTGCTGAAAAAACTTGTTTATAATATGATTTCCAAGAAAATCTTTTTCTTTCTTTGTCATGCACATTTCAAAATATAACTTAGTCTTGTCCTTTACTGAGCTGAAGCAGTTCACGTGTAAACTACAGGCACAGTCTTCCTGCAGAACAAACAGTGCAGACTAGTAATCTAAAGACAATTTGATTCATGCAACATATTGCAAACCTGAACAGCTAATTTTGTGAGATCAGATTTATGGGGAGCTGTTTGTTTATTAAAATAGAAAGGCACAAAAACATTTGGCAATGTTAACAAATTAAAGTAATCACTGAGAATTAAAAATATGGATGCCCAAATCCCAGTGTGAGTTTTGTCCTGAAAATCTTAATCCAGATATATTACTGCTGCCTTTTCACTGACACTTGAGACAGTTACTCAGCATTTTAAAATATTCATTACAACTGTTATAATTAAATCTAGCTGGTGTTTTTTCTGATGCTCAAGCAAAGAGAGGAAGACGTTTTATCCTTATTCTTAACTATGATTCACTAACATGGAAGAAGTACAATATTTTTTAAGTTAGTCCCTATTGCTGCTTATATATTATCCACAAGTAGATATATATATATTTTATATAGGAAATTATTATAATTTAAAATATTAGTTGCATTGGTGCATTATTTGCAAACTAATTTGCTTATGGTGTCGTCTTTGTGACATCATGAGGTTCCTGTTCATTTATAGGTATTTTTTTCCCCATAGAATAAAAAGTTCATTGTATATACAATAGTAAAAGTTAATTTAGAGATAGTAAATGATTAATTAATTCCCTTGAGCACCTACAAATACAGCTCCATATAAGAATAT